GGATGGTTGCCTGATGAATGGTGACATATGGAGAGCTCAGTATTGGTCTTGGCTATTTGTAGGGTAAGTATGCAGCAGTAGTGTTAGCCAGGCCAACTCTGAGAAAAGGAAGTTCAAATTGTTGAGCCCATGCCTATCCTCCATCCCTGCCACCATGACTACTCTGTTCATGGGCCTATTGGCCCATGTATAACATTACAGGTATAAGCCACCACACCTAGCTCACACATGTCTTACTAAAGCATCTAAAACACTTTCTACCTTCTGTTCACCATATCCAATCAGCACAATGTCATCGCTATTGTTGACTAGTGTAATGTTTTGTAGGATGTCAGGATAAGAGGTGGCCCTATTCTATGACAGCAGAAGAATTGAGGTATCTCTGAGGCAAGACTATGAGAGTATACTGTTTGCCCTGCCAAGTAAAGGCAGAATGTTCCTTTTTTTTTTTTTTTTTTTTTAAGACAGGATCTCACTCTGTCACCCAGGCTGGAGTGCAGTGGCACAATCTCAGCTCACTGCAACCTCCACCTCCCTGGTTCAAGCAATTCTCCTGCCTCAGCCTCCCGAGTAGCTGGGACTACAGGTGTGCACCACAATGCCTGGCTAATTTTTTATTTTTTTGTATTTTTAATAGAGATGGAGCTTCACCATGTTGGTCAGGCTGGTCTTGAACTCCTGACCTCAGGCGATGTGCCTGCCTTGGCCTCCCAAAGTGCTGGGATTACAGGCCTGAGCCACCGCGCCCAACCAAGGCAGAATGTTTCTTGTAAATTAATATGGAGAAAAAGGCATTAGCCAGGTCAAGAGCTGCATACCAAAGGCAAAAGGTTATGTTAATTGCCTCAGTCAAGATAGCACATGTGGGACAGCAGCTGTATTGGAGTCATGGAGTAACTACCTGATTAAATTTACAACAGCCAACAATCATTCTCCAAGATCCATTTGATTTCTGCACAGGCCAACAGTAAATTAAATGAGAATGAGAATGTGATAGAATTATCATCTGATTCTTTCAAGTCTTTGATTGTGGCATTAATCTTTGCAATTCCTCCAGGAATGCGGTATTGCTAGTCTTTACTATCTTAGTAAGGAGCGGAAGTTCCAGGAGTCTCCATGTAGCCTTTTCTACCAACTGGCCCTCACTCTGTGGGTCAGAGAGTTCAATCTGGGGATTCTGCCAGTTGCCAAATATAACTAATCCAACTATAGACGGTCCCTGACTTATGATGGTTCCATTGATTTTTTGACTTGACGATAGTGGAAGAGTGGTACACATTTAGTACAAACTGTACTTCAGTACAGTATTCAATAAATTACATGATCGATCAACACTTTATTATAAAACACGCTTTGTGCCAGATTATTTTGCCCAGCTTAGGCTAATGTAAGTGTTCTGAGTATGTTTAGGGCAAGCTAAGCTAAGTTGTGATGTTCCATAGGTTGGGTGTAGCAAATGTATTTTGACCTATGATATTTTCAACTTACAATGGGTTTATCAGAATATAACCTCATCATAAGTCAAGGGAGCATCTGTATACATTCAGGAACTGGGGAAGTAACCACTGGATGGATCTGTGGACAACTGGGTCCATTGTGAGTCAAACTTGAACTAAGATTCCATCTATCACCAGAACATCATGAGCCCTCACTTTCATTCGTGGGCTACAGAGGTGTTCTAGGTTTCCAGGAATTAGTTCAGAGCCATTGCTCAATAAACCCTAAAATACCTGGGTACTTACTTTTCCCCAATGTGTAACCATTTGAGTAAATGGCTGCATTCACTTGGATGAACGTTTGGAGGAAAATTTACAGTATATACTTGTGTCAATGGTGCAGGGTCCTTCCTCCAAGAGATGTGGCTTCCCTGTCAATCAAGAGGTTTGGGTTTGTGATATGACTTGTCTGGAAACTAGGTGAGAGACTATGTCTATCCAGTGTGGCACTCAGGTAAGGTTTTTGGCTACTAGACATAGACTTCTTTTCTGTTAGATAGATCAAACTATTCTCTAGTAGGCTGCCCATCTGTTTCATTCCTAGGGACACCACAGCCACTACCAAAGATCTTTATAGACTAACATATTCTGATTACTGGTATGTCCTGGCTTCTGTATAGGATTGATGTCCCTACCTTTAACAATTAAGTACTGCCACTTGGCCTCATCATCTCCACTAAAACCAGGGAACACAACTCAATGCTGGCATCTTCCATGATCATACCTGGCCTGCAAAGGAGAGCAACCACGGAGCTTTCCAAGGATGCAAGCGCTCCCTTGTCTAAAGTATTTCTCAATGCCTTAGAAACAGGAGTATCTTCTGGATCTTGTTTTAGGATACAGTTTTTGTGTTTTTGTCTATTGCATGTGGGTCAAGGTCACATTTGATAAATTCAGTTCAACATTTCTACCCCTCTCAGTCTTTGGGTTCCCTCCTCTACATCATGCCTTGGCATCTAAATAGTATTAACTATAGACTACTGTTGGGTTAAATCTTCAAGAAATCCACCAAATAAGCTGTTAAAGTCACTTCCAGTTGCATGAGTCAACACAATGTCTGTAAAGGCACTCTAGTAAGTGCCTCCATATAATTTGGCCTGATACAGTAATATATATACTGCCCTCTTTAGTTTAAAACACTTAGAATCCACTTCCACACATTCCACACATTAGCAAAGTATGTGTAATTAGTATAATTCTTTCAGCGTGCAAACTGTTTTATCCTAGATCATAGTGTGTATCAGCCTACCTGGAACATTAATGAGGTTTGAACCTAGTTAAGGTCTAGTGGCAATGGGGCAGAAGAATGGGAAGTAAATTCTGGTGGGTCTTGTAGAGAATGAGCTTCCCTTTTGAAGTCATCTGCCCCAACTGAGGGCATAGCAGTGTCTTCAAGCAAAGAATGACTAGTCTCCTCAGACTTGGGAGGGCAAGCTACTTCCACTGCCAAGGAAGACTCAGAATGATGTGGGTGTTCAAGACTGTTGGTTATCTGGGTCTAAGCAGAGTGCTTATTTCAAATTTTGGGATTCCATTCCTTCCCAATTGATGCCTTAACTTTCACAAGAGAAACTAACCTTGTAATTCAGCCCACATGGAGTAGTCAAACACTGTGGGCCACTGCGCACAAAAGAGCCAGCTGAGAGGAGCACACTGGAACCAGAAAAAAAGAGCTCCTTCCTCCTCTAAAGTTTCTCCAGCACCCTCCACTGATGAAGCTTACTGCCCATTGAACCAAAAGGCAAGGGAGAAATCTTCCAATATTGCAAGCAGGGTAGTGAAGGGTGGATTTGGAATAGAGACTCAATAGGTTGAAAACTGGCAACACACTTGGCCGTTATTCCTTCTCCCATGGTCTCTACCACCAACTCCTGATAAAAACCCAAACACTACAAATAGAAATAAGAAAATCAAGACCCTAATGAGAATGCCAAGACCATTAAGAACATGTAATACTATATACTCGCATTGTCTAGGGTAACCAACCATCTCAGTTTGCCCAGGACTGTCCTGGCTTTAGCACTTAAAGTCCTGTGTCCTGGGAAACTCCTCAGGCCCATTCAAACCAGAACAATTTGTCTTTCTACGTGAGTCCTAGAAGTTTTCAAAAATTTTGTGCACCAGAATCACTTGGGTATTTGTTAAAAACGCAGGTGATTCTGGAAAAACAAAAAAAGCGATGATTTCAGATGCAAGTAAATCATGGATTGATTTTTGAGAAATACACTACTTAGAGGCTGAAGAGGTGTTAATCACTACTTTTAGGAACTCCTCAATCCAGACTTCTTTGTTCCTGTTCCAAAACTATAATCATTGAAAAGAAAGAAATGACATCTTTTAGAAGATACAGCCAAAGTTCCTGAGCCAGAAGCAGACACTGACAAATTAGTTGATGGGGGAAAAGAACTGTAATCTAGCCTTAGCATTTTCTCTTCTTTCAGCTCTAGGATAAATCATTTTTTCCTTCAGTGTCACAAAGTATAACAAATAATAATGAGTGCTGTGAAAATGGATTTGATAGTAGCAACAATATAGGTACATTAATGAGGTGTACCTATAATGAGCTTCCTGCAGGTAAACACTCATACCAGGCTTATTTTAAAGATTTCCACAGTGACTATACTTTGGCAGATCTTAGATAATGACTTGCATAAAACAGTCAATTCAGTGCTACTTTTGCTATTTTCATACTGTAAAGTACATGGTTTAACATGACCACTTTAAAGCTGTTTCTCATGAGCTCAAATGGGGTGAGCTCTTTCTCATTTTTTGAGTTTTTGTTGTGTTCCAGGCATTGTGCTATATTCTTTAAATGCATTATCTCACTTAATCCTCCCAACTAGAGCGATACCCATTTAACAGAGGCAGAGTACTTGCCCTAGATTATACACCTAGTAAATGGTGGTGTCTGGACCAAAAAGTAGGTCTGTTCACTCAAGCAAAATTTGCTTAGCACTGGAGAGAGCCAAGGCGAATTAAGGCGTGGTCCTATGCCCTGCTGTAAATTCTGTGTTCGGAGGCGTGCACAGGCTGCAATAGGAACACAAAGGAGTCTCATCTCAGCCTCTCCGTGGCTTTTAGGATAAAATGCAAATCCTTTTGCCTAGCACATTATAACCAGGTCCCCTAAACTCCTCTTCCTTTATCTAGCCCCGCAGGGACCCGGTCGCTCTTTCTGCCACAAAGATGCCGATGCTTAAACATCTCCAGTTTCGAGGAACTCACGTAGGAGACACGCCTTCACTTCCATCTTTTCCAAACCCCGACCCCTTCACACCGCTCCACCGCACTCTCAATCCCTGTCCGCTGCAACCTCTATCCCCTCATCAGCACCTTCGGTGATTAGGCCCTTCAGGCGCGGGGGATTTGGGACTACTCGGACTGAGGACGGTGCACCGGTAGTAGCGGCGGCGCTGCGTAACGTCGAGAGGAAGTGCCTGACGCCGCGGTCTGTAATTGGGAGTTGCTAGAGTCGGTGCTTCACTCTTAAGGTTCCGACCACAGACGGCGGAGTGGGTACCGGGCTGCGAGGGGTGTCCCAAGTCCTAGCGGGTTTGGACTGGCGCGCCCGGCTCTGCCCGTAAGTGCGCGTTTCCGACTTACTGCTGGGTGCGCGGGGCTGGGGGTGTGAGGACCACCCCTGAAGTCTCTTCCCGGGCGACCTCCGGCGCCTCATTCTAGGCCTCCTGGAAGGGAAGAATCTAAATTAGGAAAAGGAAGTACCCTTAGCCAGGACCAAGCTCTTCCACCTGCGGAGCTCGCTTAGTCTGCACCTCAACCGTGCAGAAATTGACTCCCTGTTTACTGAGGAAAAACTGGGGTTCAGAAAGGTGAAGTCATTTGCTATGGGCCTTGCAGCTGGAAAGTGACAGATCTGGATTCAAAGCGAGTTCTGGCTGGCGCCAGAGTCCTTGTCCTTTACAGCACTGGTTCTCAAGCTCTGTGTGCATTAAGAATGCCTGGGTTGAGGGTGGCGTTAGGTAACAAATTCTGGGACTCTTCAAATTGAGTAGGTCTGGGATGGAGCTCTGGAATCTGTATTTTCGACAATTGTTCCCTGGCAAATAGCATATGGCTCCCCAGTGAACAGAGCAAGAAGGTGAGCAAGTTGTATCCTCTGCGGGGACTGTAGGTAATTGTTATGCTTTTAGGGCCTCAATTGAAAGAACATGTAAACGGGAGCTCCTGGGATTGAAGAATTGGTATTTGATTGTCATTAACTCTTCTGGGCAGATGGCAGCCTCTGTCGTCTCCCCACCTATTAAATGAAATTAATTACATGCTTATCACCTGGGGGAACTCGTTAAACACACAGATCCCTGGACCTGGCTCAGCTTTACTGAGTCAAAAGAGGTGGGAGATGGGGCCTGGAAATCTATAGGCTAAGCAAGCTATTAATATAAAATGAGCTTTTACCTTTGAGAACTTGAGGTGTGAAGCTTTCTTAGGTAGAAGCATAAAGAAATAGATTACAGATTTGGAACATGTGGCTTGAATTTCCTTGTTGTTTTGGTAGCAGTACGTGCTTCTGTATTTGCTGTAGGCTAAACTTACTGGTACAACTGTCAAATTAGTATTATTAGCCATTATGAGGTGGATTTATCAGTTAGCTGGAGACAGGAATTTAATAAAAGTTGAATGTTAATCTACCTATCGTTGATTTCCTGAGTGATTTTGGGTACATCACTAAACTTTGCGGTCCACATACATACCTGCATAGTGTCAAATCTTACACTGCTTGTTTTAAAGACAAATACCTGTATCCATCCTGAATCAGATTTTCTGGAGGTGGACTGTAGGTGTTTTGAACAAACTTCCAGGGAAGTTTGATGCAGCTGGTGATAATGCAATATATGCCTGGAAACAGTCTTAACCTATTTCTCAATGTCCATGTAGGTGAAAATGGGAATAGTACAATTTCCTTATATTCTACTCTTGGGGAATATTAAGAGGAATGTGGTTTGTGATAGGTCCTGATTTTAGAATTTCTTAAAATGCACTTTCTTGTGAAAGAAACAAAAGTACTATAATAAGATTACAAAAGGTAAATGCTAAAGCCAGCAGCCCCAAATGACTTAGGCTTCTTGATTGAAATGCTGCGATGACAGAAACTGATTTTACATAGAGGCTGTATTGCTGTTGAGAGTCTTCTGCCTGAAATTAATTATGCCTTAGGAGTAATTGTTCACAACTGTAACTAAAACCACTGTTTTGTTTTAATAAACAGATACCATGGAGTAGTTTGAAGCAGAAACAAAATCTTCCAAAAGCTTGGAGCAGAAGCCTTTTTGGTCAACATGGAGGAAAAAAGACGGCGAGCTCGAGTTCAGGGAGCCTGGGCTGCCCCTGCTAAGAGCCAGGCCGTTGCTCAGCCAGGCAAGAATCTGTAGGGATTTTGTGTGTGTGTGGATATGGACAACTCTCATTCCTTTTATTTATATCCTTTTGGTTTATAATGGACTTCCATTTCAATTGATGTCAAGGAATTATTTAAATGTGGCTGAAATATCTGTTTTGTTGATGGTGAGCTAAGGGTGGGTCTTTAGTGTTCCTCATATTTAGTCCACACCCTCAAACCTTTCAGTGTCTTCTGTTGACTTTACCAGTTAGTTTCTACATGTCATAGAGATCATCTCCAAGTGGGCTTTGTTGGCCCTTGCTCAGTAGAAGGTGCTGAGAACAGACTTTCCCCTGGTTTGAGGCTGTCCCCTCTCTTGCTTCAGCTACCACTGCTAAGAGCCATCTCTACCAGAAGCCTGGCCAGACCTGGAAGAACAAAGAGCATCATCTCTCTGACAGAGAGTTTGTGTTCAAAGAACCTCAGCAGGTAAATTCTTGGTTTTTTCTTCAATAGTGACAAAAATTTGCTTTAAAAAGTGATATTCACACAGTGGACACTCAAATAAATAATGACTGAATAAATTCACTAATAGCAGAGCAGAAGAACTATAATAATAATGAAATGCAGAGTATTTCAGTTCCTTTCTATGTCTGGGGATTCTTCGTAGTCTGCTTCTAGTTTATGGTCACATATTCCCGTATTTTTGGCAAGGAGGTTACACCATAATGAGAGCCTGCTTGCATTTGTTATTTGAGCTCCAGCAGTTCTACAACTGTGCTGTCTTCTGTGCTGTTGCACTTCAACGTCTTTGGAATTAGATTAAAATTTCAGTTATTACAGCAAAATGCCTGATTTTTAGCCCTTTTTTCCCATGAGGAAAAATGTAGGAAACAGTGAAGATTTATTTTTTAATAATGTGGAAAAGTTAAAAAGTTGGGTATCTTGCCACAGTAACAACTCTATAAATAATTATTGAAACTCTTTATTTTATAGCATATTTTCTATTTTAAAAAAGATTATTGTCAAGATTTTTCCAGAGCTGCTGGCTGCTAGGAAAATTTATTAATTCTATTAATAATTGTATCTTCTTTTACTGTCTACTAGCAAATGTGAAGTAGTTTTAAGAAGAGCAGAGACAAGGATCTCTGGTGGGTTAGTGAGAAGTTGGAATGGAAAAGAGATAGCTTTTAACTTTATTTTGACCAGAAATGGGAAGATATGGTAAGTCAGTATCTGTGAGGATTAAGAACATTCCAGAAGTAAGATCTGCCTATTTCCTTGCAGGTAGTACGTAGAGCTCCCGAGCCACGAGTGATTGAGTAAGTAATTTGCTGTCTTCCTGTAATTGTTGCCCACAGTGAAATGAAATGAAGAGACTGGAATCTTTCCTTACTGTTTTTTCTATCTGGAAGAGAATGGCCCAATAAGTGTCTTAATTTTAGTCTGGGATATTCCCATCTCAAATGTCTGTAAACTTGATCTTTTGAGAAGACTTTCTGAATTTGCTGATGGTATGGAAAATGCAACAAAGATAGCCATATGTTGAACTTTGACTTGTGTAGATTTCCTGGCCCTATTTCACTGGTATCTGTAGACAGTAAGCTAAACCTCTCAGGCAAAGACAGAGAGGGATTTTTCCTGAGTCATTGAAGCATGGTTCTTTGAGAAGCCATTAATTGCCATTTTACTAGCAATGCTGTGAAAGCTGCTAGTGCTGTAGATGAGCTTACAGTCCATTTATTAAAACCATGTAATTATTCCAGAACAGTTTAAATGATAGTAAACATTCTTCTTATATTGATCTGTGTCTAAATGTTCTTGTCCAAAGTTGGTGAGAGATGCTTTGACTCCTCTTTTTATGCTTGTCAATTTTCATCTGATGTAGATAAATTGTCAGTAGAAACTATTCTTTTATCTTAGCAAATTAGCATTAGATATATGTTCTTGCCCATGATCAATCTGTTTGTTATGCTGTTTGACTGCTTGCAGATTGGCTTGTATATATTAGAAAAAGTCGCAGGCTAGTTCTAATAGTCTTTGGTTGTTTATTATTTTTTAGTTTTTTGGAACAGGCTGTCACTCTGTTAACTCAGGCTGGAGTGTAGTGGCATAATCAAAACTCACTGTAGCCTCCGTCTTCTAGGCTCAAGTGATCCTCCCACCTCAGCCTCCCGAGTAGCTAGGTCCACAGGCGCACACCACCATGCCTTGCTCATTTTTAAAAACATTTTTTGTAGAGATGAGATCTCCCTATGTTGCCTGGGCTGGTCTTGAATTCCTGGGCTCAAATGATCCTCCCACCTCAGCCTCCCAAAGTGCTGCTATTGCAGGGATGAGCTACCATACCAGGCCTTTGGTTGTTTAAAAAAAAACAAGTGTGTTAGTGCCTTCATTGGTGGTAAGGAGAATAAACAAAACCATGATACATGTTGTAAGCTACAGATGCGACATTTGGCCCACCCAAAACTGGCAATTGTCAGAGAAAAAGGACAGAACTCATTCCTACTTGGTCCTGGAATCTGTTAATTCTGGTTATCTAAAGTTTGCTAGGTTAAAAAAAAAAAAAAAAAAGCCGGAAATGTCTTCCGTGAGCCATTTCTGAATGTGGGCCAAAAATATATCATATTGAAACACTGTGTTCTCTGTATACTGGGAAACTTTATAGACAATGCATGTAGAAAATGTAGTAAATATGTGTGACAGCTATGCCTACATTTTGACTGAAAGGCACTCATACATCTACTTAAAAGCCTAGCTCAGATCATGAACAACTAACTCCCATGACAGAAGGTGATGTGAAAAGTGCCCTTTGCATTATTGTCTATAACGTATCTCTCTCTCAGAAGGATCTGACACAATTGTCTTGATATACCTATCCAGTTTGTGTCACTTTTCTCATGGGCCTCACCACCTGGCAGTTCTGCAACAGCTTTATACATTTTCACATTTGATTAAATTCAGTAAACCTTTATTGCCCATCTGCTATGTGCAGGCACTGGGAAACAATAACCTACCTATTCTTTGCACCTCAGGACCCCACTGTCTAGTAAATGAAAGAGACATTTAATCAGATAAATTGTAATCTTGTACATCATGAAAAAATAGACTGTATCTAAGGTCTAGTGGTAACACAGAGGATGAGAGGTTAATATTATTTGTTTGGGTTAAAGGTCAGGAAAAGTTTAAAGGAGGTGATGCTGAAGCTAGGATTTTTGAAAGGTGATGAATTAGAGTTTTCCACTAGACCATAACTGAAGGCGGATTGGTTTGGGGATGCTGGGTGATGGGGTGGCATTCCAGCATGTTGAAAAACATGGAGTTAGAAACATAGTGGTGTATTCAGGAGATTCCAAGCAGTTGATTGCTGCTAGAGGATGATGAGTTTATGGGAGCTGTCAGAAGATAGAGCTGCATTATGAGGACCTTGAATGCAGTTTTGGGGTGCCATTGGAGGATTTTAATCAGAAGAGGAACCTCATCAGATGTATATTTTTGAAAGCAACAGAAGCCCAGAGCCCTGAGATGTGCTTGCTGCCTGTTAAATGTATCCCCTATTCCACATTCTCCAGAGCAGTGCTCTATTTGACCCCTCTTTGGGCAATAGATTCCTGGACCTTATCTGTCTCAATTATGGGTAGAATAAAAGAGGTAGAATCAGAATTGATTTTATCCCAGTTTTTGTCTCCATGGCCTGATCCTGTCACAGTTCCATTCCCAGTGTCATTAATGATATACCATGATCTTGCCCTTTATCTCAGTGGTAGAAGAAGGTGGGGATTATGCCTCTCTCATAATTAAATGACTTTGGTGAGCCAGGACTTTGGCAGTTAGGAAGGATAACTCTTCACTGGGTAGAGCATATTGTTTTGCTTCAAACTAACAAGTCTGTTTCCTTTGTTTCTTTAGCAGAGAGGGTGTGTATGAAATCAGCCTGTCACCCACAGGTGTATCTAGGTAAGCGAATCCTCACAAGAAGTGACTGTAATTATCACTGAGTTATAGTCTCTTAAAATAGTTTACTCCCCTAGATAAAGGAAATGTGGTACATATACATTATGGAATACTATGCAGCCGTTAAAAGGAATGAAAGCATGTCCTTTGCAGGAACATGGATGGAGCTAGAGACCTTTATCCTCAGTAAACTAACGTGGGAACAGAAAACCAAATACTGCATGTTCTCACTTGTAAGTGGGAGCCAAATGTTGAGAACACAGGGACACATAGAGGGGAACAATAGACACTGGGGCTTGTCGGAGGGTGGAGGGTGGGAGGAGGGAGAGGAACAGAAAAAATAACTAATGGGCACTACGCTTAACACCTGCATGATGAAATAATCTGTACAACAAACCCCTATGACACAAGCATACCTATATAACAAACCTGCACATGTACCCCAAACTTAAAGTTTAAAAAAAGTCTACTCCCTTGTTGCAAATAGGTAACTTCTGCCCCTTAAATTCTTGGGGAGCAAAAATTTGATAGTATCTCCTTTTTATATAATATTTCTAGCATCAAAACATTTTCAGATATAGTTCCAAACCTTTCTGTCAGATATCATAGCTATTACTTCCCCAGTTTTTTAGATGAGGAAATGAGACCTAGGAAGATTGAATATTTTTTCTTTTTTCTTTTCAAGACGGAGTTTTGCTCTTGTTAGCCCAGGCTGGAGTGCAATGGTGCTGTCTCGGCTCACTGCAACCTCTGCCTCCCGGGTTCAAGAGATTCTCCTGCCTCAGCCTCCTAAGTAGCTGGGATTACAGGCATGTGCCACCAAACCCAGCTAATTTTTTTGTATTTTTAGTAGAGACGGGATTTCACCATGTTGGTCAGGCTGGTCTCAACTCCTGACCTCAGCTAATCCACCTGCCTCAGCCTCCCAATGTGCTGGGATTACAGGTGTGAGCCACCGTGCCTGGCCTGAATATTTTTTCTTAATGCCACAGAGTAACTTGGTATTAGAGTTGGGTCTAGTCTGGACTTATGTGCTGTGAGTGCTACGTTATATTATTATTATATTTCATGTATATTACATATTATATATTATTGAATATAATATTACATATTCCTACACTAGGGTAAATTTCTTTTTTTGTTGTCTTTTTGTTTTTGAAACAAAGTCTGGCTCTGTTGCCCAGTCTGGGGTGCAGTGGCACGATCTCGGCTCACTGCAACCTCTGCCTCCTGGGCTCAAGCTACCCTCCCACTTCAGCGTCTGAGTAGCTGGGACTACAGGTGTGTGCCACCACACCTGGCTAATTTTTGTATTTTTTTTTTGGTAGTGATGGGGTTTCATCATATTGCCCAGGCTGGCCTTGAACTCCTGGGCTCAAGTGATCTGCCCACCTTGGCCTCCCAAAGTGTTGGGATTACAGGCGTGAGCCACCATACCTGGCCTAGGGTAGATTTCAGTAGTTAAACATATACTATTTAGGGTATATTAGGCATTAGTCATTGTTTTAAAAACATTTAAAAACATTGAAACATTAAAATCACCTTAATGCTTGAGTATACTAATTGTCATAAAATAATGAGACATTTAAAACAAATATATTAGAACTTACACATCTAAATGAATTTCTTTTTTTTGTTGTTTTTTTGTTGTTTTTTGGTTTTTTTTTGAGACAGAGTCTCTCTCTGTCCCCCAGGCTGGAATGCAGTGGTGCGATCTCGGCTCACTACAAGCTCCACCTCAGGGGTTCACACCATTCTCCTGCCTCAGCCTCTCAAGTAGCTGGGACTACGGGCGCCCGCCATCACTCCCGGCTAATTTTTTGTATTTTTAGTAGAGACAGGGTTTCACTGTGTTAGCCAGGATGGTCTCGATCTCCTGACCTCGTGATCCACCCGCCTCGGCCTCCCAAAGTGCTGGGATTACAGGCGTGAGCCACCGCGCCTGGCCCTAAATGAATTTCTTAAGAGCTTCCGCTGGAACAATGGCTCTGCCATGGTTATAACCCTTTTTGGAACTTTTAAAGCAAGTCACTCCAACCAGTTTTATCATTTTGGTCATATCTTACTGTTAACTAGGTATGGCTTCAGGTAAGCTTTGGCTCTTTCAGAAAATCAGATGCACCTTCAAAGAGTGAAGTGCTACCAAGGCAGTTTAAGAGACTCTTCCGTGGGCTTTCAGAAGATGTCTTAAGAAAGATATCCAAAATTATTTTGAGCTGAATTGGCATTGTTGAAGTAAACACATATTCAGTGGGAGAAAGAACCCTCATTAGCTGTGTTTATTTTGATACAGTCATAATGAGCTCTAGCTTTCCCTAGAATTAGTGTAGTCTCAGAAGACTACCAATTGTTTAAATAAAACAGGGCCAGGCATTTTATTAGTTATTCTTTTTTTGAGACGGAGTTTTGCTCTTGTAGCCCAGGTTGGAGTGCAATGATGTGATCTTGGCTTACTGCAACTTCTGCCCCCAGATTCAAGCGATTCTCCTGCCTCAGCCTTCCAAGTAGCTGGAACTACAGGTGTGCACCAGCACACCCAGCTAATTTTGTATTTTTGGTCCACACGGGGTTTCACCATGTTGGTCAGGCTGGTCTTGAACTCCTGACTTGAGGTGATCCACCCGCCTCAGCCTCCCAGAGTGCTGAGATTACAGGCATGAGCCACTACACCCAGCCTTATTCTATTTACTCTTCACAGTGAACCTATGAGGTTGATGTCATCTCAGGTTACAGATGAGAAAACCAAAGTTCAGAGAGGTTCAGTAACTTGCCCAGGGCTTCACAGCTAAGCAGTACTGGAGTAGTGTTTGAATTATGATCTATAAAAGCCCTTACCTATCATCCGTTTATCCTTCATTGCCTCTTTTATTTGTCCCAACATGAAAGGAGCTTATTTTACATATGGCACCTCATGACCTGGGTGATGTTAGGCTCTGCTTGCTGTGGGAGCTGTGGTAAGATGATTTCGTCTACCCATTAGAAGCTGCATCCAGATTAACTGTTTCCACTAACGTTTAGAGTCTAACTTATCTTTTCCATGTTCTTTGGTTAACAATGGTTCATTCTACACCCAGGGTCTGTTTGTATCCTGGCTTTGTTGACGTAAAAGAAGCTGACTGGATATTGGAACAGCTTTGTCAAGATGTTCCCTGGAAACAGAGGACCGGCATCAGAGAGGGTAAGTAGATCCCAGAGGTCACAGTTGGTGCTGCGTGTTCTCCCTCTCTGGAATGTTTCCTAATACCATCGCCTCTACTTAGCTAGTCTTAAACAGAAATTCAAAACCTGAGATCCTAAGAAAGTAGAATTAGCCAGAAAGGACAGGGAAAAGTATTCCAGGGAGGAGAAACAGCAGGTGGAAGGCCCAGAGATCAGAGAGAACATGGCAAGAGGATAGAGGTGAGAGTTCAAGGAACCAAAGGAAATTTGGTTGGCTGAGCTATGGCTGATATACTTACCTCCTTTTGTGTTTGTTCACTGACTGTTGCTTCAAATGGTGCCAACTTTTTACTTCATAGAAACTAACAGAGCTTTCTTTTTTTCTGATCCCATTTTGCATACATTCTTTCACACTCCTTGCTGACTTTGTATTCTTTAACTTTCACCAGAAGAGTCCAGTCTCCTCTAGCTTCAGCATCTGTACTCTCCTGAGCTTGTAAAAGTGACACAGCAGTTTGTTACCTGAGTTGGAACCTGAATCTCTGTGGGCATCCACAAGCCAACAGTGCCTATTATACCACAGGTGGTCACTGGGGGGCGTCTGTGCTCTAGCATAGAATTTTCTTTCTGGCACATTGAGTGAATGTAGATTTTCTGTAAAGAGGCAAAGTATATATAGTTGTCCCTCAGTATCCACAGGGGATTGGTTCCAGGATTCATGTATGCTCAAATCCTTTTATAAAAACTATCATAGTGGCTGGGCGTGGTGGCTCACACCTGTAATCCCAGCACTTTGGGAGGCCGAGGCAGGTGGATCACGAGGTCAGGAGATCGAGACCATCCTGGCCAACATGGTGACACCCCATCTCTACTAAAAATACAAAAATTAGCCGGGCATGGTGGTGTGCACCTGTAGTCCCAGCTACTCTGGGAGGCTGAGGCAAGAGAATTGCTTGAATCCAGGAGGCGGAGGTTGCAGTGAGCCAAGATCGCGCCACTGCACTCTGGCCTGGCAATAGAGCGAGACTCCATCTCGGAAAAAAAAAAAAAAAAAAAACTATCATAGTATGTGCATATAACCTATGCACATCCTCTAGTATCCTTTAAATCATTATAATACCTAATACAATGTAAGTGATGTGTAAATAGTTGTTATACTGTTTTTATCGTGGTATTGTTATTTTTAATTTTTATATATTTTTTGAGTATTTTTCATCCATAGTACTGTTATTTTTAATTTTTATATATTTTGTGTGTATGTTTGATCCATGGTTTGAGTATTTTTGATCATGGTGAATGTGGAACCCACAGATACGAAAGGCCAACTGTACTGGCTTCATTTTTGTTACTCATGCTTCAGAATGGGAGTCAGCTTCCTCTCAGCCTTCAGGACAGCCTTCTCTCAACTCCCGCAGTTTCTGCAGCAGGGCTTTTGGTGACAGACATGGCTTTGATTGTTGGCTCTTTCATTCAAAGTAGTTGTTAATTTTAAGCAAATTACAGTTAAGTAACTCTCTGATCCCTGGTTTTCTTATCTGTAAAATTAAACTAATAATACTGTCTACCTTATAAGGTTGCTGTGTTAATAAAATGAGATAACACAAGATTGCCTGGTACGTAGTAAGCCTTCAGTGAGTATTAGCTGCTGCTATTATTATTACTATTATTGTTCTTATTGTTGTGGTTATACCAGTAGTGGGAAAAAGAGTAGATCTATGGATAACTGCTTCTATAAATTGGAACATCAAAGCCTTCTGACGAAAATCAATTGCATGCTACAGTGGGTCAGGACACTTTTTCCTCCTTTGAATCAAAAAGGTTTACACAACGTTGGACACATGAATGAGCAGTTTGTCTTGTTTCTCATATGGATGTTGGTGCCACAAATTTCTGCAGACAGGAGTTCAGGCTCCATATTCTACTTTTTGAGACCGTCCCTAGTCTGAGCCCCACTGTTCCCCAGTGTGACTCTTTGCCCTCTCTTGTTTCTGTCATCACTAATACAAGCAAGTCACTCACATTCTCATCTCAGAGCCTTTGCCCATGCAGTGTCTGCCAGCGTAGTGGTTTCTCTTGTTCATTCTACTTGCCAAGTCCCATATCTTCTGTGAAGGTGGAACTTTGGGTCAGAGCCTATTCTTACTTTTCCTTTGTATTTCTCATAGCATATTGCAGGGCACAGAGTTGGCATTCAGTAGTAACACCTTAAATAGTATTAAACCATTTCAAAGGCCTGTATTTTCTTTCTTAGATATAACTTATCAGCAACCAAGACTTACAGCATGGTATGGAGAACTTCCTTACACTTATTCAAGAATCACTATGGAACCAAATCCTCACGTATGTCAAAATATTGTCATTGGTATGGTTTTATAGACTATATACTATGTGTTGAGTGCTATAAAATAACAACAGATTACCTTGCAGAGACGCATGCTGGTTCCTAGTTCAAAAAACCTCTCTGGGTTGAAACATTGAGTCTTTGTTGTTGTCATCCTTCATGTGCTTTTGATCCATAGATGAGCTAGAGGATGAGAAAAAACTAGAACTAGAGTAAACTGAACCAGAGTCTAGGATTTCAGGAAAATGAACTATTTCTTCTCCTAATATCCCTCTTTCCCAAGCTCTTCTGGCTGTAATCCTTCTGTGTACACGCTGGTATGCATTTGCTGTGGGGCTGAGTCCTTATGACTGACGAGTGAGGTCAATATGTCTTTTTCTGTTTCTCAGACTCTTTTGCTATTTGTGAAAAAAAAAATCTGGTGTTTTTCTTGTTAACTTTGTATTTATTCTATGGCTGCAGTTCTCAGACTTCCATCTGATTACTGCTTTGGCTTGTTTCTGCTGCTGCTTTTGCTTTTAAAAAATTTCCATGAAAGTAGATGAAGATATTCTAGTATATAAATTAAGCTCATCCAGGGGACAGAGTTAAGGTCCAAGAAATAGCTCCCTGTTTAGTTCCTGGAATCTTGCCTTTGGCAAATAATGTTATGTTTTATTGAAAGAGGCTTTGAAGAAAATGGAGTTTTGCTTATGGCATTGGGATACACAGAAATGTGACACATTTCAGAGCTTCTAGAAATGTGTAATTGCAAGCTACAAATTTACTAAAATGTTCAGAGAGAGAGCATTGACCGAGGGAACATGGCCTGTTCACGTAAGGAGATAGCTGCATGCTTTGGTTTCGAGGGCTTCATTTAGAATGTGAGCCGGGGAAGTGCCAAGACCCTTTATCTGAGGTTGATTTTGAAACATGGAGATAATGGAATTAGGCCAGTCCAACAGAGCCTGCTTTCCTTGTTTCTGTCAGAATTAATTTATCTTCTTGTTAGTAGTCATAGCAGAGAATTTGAGGATTAAATGGGCTGTGGGGAAGTTCTTTCTCATTCATTCTAGTTAATCTTTTAAAACAGGATTTCTCAACCTCAGTAGTATTACCATTTTGGGCTGGATAATTCTTTCTTGTGGGTCTATGCTTTGCGTTGTAGGATGTTTAGCAGTATCCATGACCTCCACCTGTTAGATGCCAGTGGCACCCCTCACCAGTTGTGACAACCAAAACCAACTCAAGACATTGGTAAACATCTGCTGGGGGGTAAAATTGCCCCTGGTTAAGAACCAGTGGGAATAAACACAACGCATATAGGATCTGCTGAGTAAAGTAGCCTCTTGTTGTCCGACACTTTGGCAACATTTTGACAACTCTTCAAAAGAATTTATGACAATCCTTTTTTTTTAATGTTAGTAGTATGTGCTTGTTGAAAACTTAGAAACTGCAGATAAACATGAAGAATATTAAAATTCTTGATAATTCTGCCCGATGTTTTGGTTCCAATCTTGATATTTTAGACAAATATGCCTAGAGAATCTTTTTTTCTGTAATAATACCAGGTGTGGTGGCTCATGTCTATAATCCCAACACTTTGGGAGGCCAAGGTGGAAGGATCGCTTGAGGCCAGGAGTTCATAACCATCCTGGACAACATCACGAGATGCCTTCTCTACAAAAATTTAAAAATTATCTGGGTGGAGGCAGGAGGATCGCTTGAGCCTAGGAGTTTGAGGTTACAGTGAGCTATGATCACACCACTGTGCTCCAGCCTGGGAGACAGAGCAAGACTCTGTCATTCAAATATATTTATGTGTGTGTATATATACGTATATATGTATGTGTATATATGTATGTGTGTATATACACATGTGTGTATATGTACATATATACATATACAGTATATGTGTATATGTATGTATTCATACATATATACGTATATATGTATGTATTCATATATACGTATATATGTATGTATATGTGTGTATATATATAGCGTTTCATTTAACTGTGTATCATTAACATGTTATCACCAAATACTCTTGTACAACATCATATTTAATCACTGTACAGTTTTCTGTAATCTGTGTGTGCCATAGCTTATTCAAACAACCCTCTTGTTGGATATTAATGTGGTCAAATTAGAATTCTTTAATTCGGATTTGACTGGCTCATAACTTTGTCTTTATTGGTAATATATTTAGTTCATTTGTATACTATCTTGAACAAAAAAGAGCCGCCCTTTTTCCGATTTTTATTTACTTTCATTTTAAATTTAGATATAAGGTCTTGTTATGTTATGTTGCCCAGGCTGGTGTTGAACACCTGGGCTCAAGTGATCCTCCTGCCTCAGCTTCCTTGAATAGTTGTGATTATCGGCCACACCACGACCTCTCAGATTTTTTTAAAGGTGGATTCACTAATGTGTGTATATATATGTTGGGGGTACTTGTTTAGTTTAAAAATTGTCATTACCTGAAGCTTAATATCCCATACAAAAGGAGCAATTTCAGTCATGGGTTTTTAAACTTGTTTTAGTTTTTGTTCAAACTAAATCTTATATGGGCCCAGTGTATAAAACAGATCAGAGCCTTGACTGGCTGGGAGTCCCACCAACTTGACCTCTCCTTTCTTCTGTAGACCCAGAGGTGCCTCTGAGGTACCTAGAACTCTATACAATGCTGTTTGAAATCCACTGAATAGGTCCTTTCACTTCTGTGATTGATGTTTTTTGTATTCTTTTCCTAAAATGTCTTTTAAGGATAAAATGTCTTCACTGAACAGTGAGATAATGCTGAATTTTAATTTAGACATTCAGTTCTGAGGCATCTGTATATAGAGTATTGGTTGGAGAGTCTAAATTAATCCTCTAGTTCATTATCCCCCTTTTTCTTCCTTTCTCTCTATTTCAGTACCAAAAATAACCCAGAAAAAAAAAATACCTACTTAGAAACATAACGCAAACTTTATGTTATCTCAGTACTCAGTCCCTAAGCAAGTCAGGGAAGTGCTAATTAGATTCTCGGTGACATTGTGGAAAAAAACCTATCTTCCTCCTTTACATTCTTGTTTTTCTTGTTAAGTGTGTAATTCTAGCATCTGATCTTTATCTCTATGAAGATAAATTTAAAACTGTAAAGTAAATAGGAAATACAGCCTGCTGACATTATTATTGAAATTTCACTTTTGAATTTATTATCTGAATAAAGGTTAATTTAATATTTTTGTTTTATGAGGGTGGATCTCATGTTATGTGTTTTTCTACCACAATAAAAAAGGAGAACAAGAGATATAGAAACTTACAACTTCCAGAGGCTACCTGAGTCTCTGCAGGTGTCCCATTAGCCAACTGTTTGTTGTTTTTGCTGTTTATTTTTTAAAATCCTCTGCTTAGAATATAATATTATAATGTAATATCCACAACAAGGAATTCCATCTTTAACCATGGTTTTCACATCAGAGTAAAGCTGAGTGATTATGTAAGCTTCCCTGGCAGTTTTACCTGACAACCATGGGATATACTTAATAATAGTAACAGTAATAGTCTTTCCTTTGCTGAACATCTGTTTCCTCACTATGAAACACATAACATGATATGGTTTGGCTGTGTCCCCATGCAAATCTCACCTTGAATTGTAATAATCCCCGTGTGTCAAGGGTGGGGCCAGGTGGAGATAATTGAATCATGGGGGCAGTTTCTCCCTTACTGTTTTCATGGCAGTGAATAAGTCTCATGAGATCGGATGGTTTTATAAATGGCAGTTCCCTGCACACGCTCTCTTGCCTGCTGCCATGTAAGATGTGACTTTGCTCCTCCTTTGCCTTCTGCCTTGATTGTGAGGCCTCCCCAGCTATGTGGAACTGTCAGTCCATTGAACCTCTTTTTCTTTGTAAATTACCCAGTCTCGGGTATGTCTTTATTAGCAGCATGAGAACAGACTAATACAATTCCCATTCAAGGAGTTCCCTAAAGTAGCAGTTCTTAGAGTATAATCCGTAGATCCCTGGTGAGGGTTCATGAAACCTTTTTTGGGAATCTATAAGTAAAACTATTTTCATAATAATACTAAGTCCATATGGTATTTTCACCGTGTTGGGTTTGCACTGATGGTAATGGTGGATAAAGCTGCCAGCGCCTTAGCATGAATCAAGCCATTGTCACCAAACTGTACTAGTAGTCATTGTGTTAATCATCATCATGCCCTTCCAATGTAAACTTTTAAAAATGCCAGTTTCATTTAAGAATGTCTGTTGGTGAAACATTATTCGTTTTATTAAATCTTGGTCTTTGAGTATGTGTCTTCCGTATAGTCTTTTTGATGAAATTAAAAGTATACCTAAAGCACTCCTGCTACAAACTGAAGTGTGATTGTTTGAGCTGTAAGCTGAACTAGCTACTTTTGTTGTGGATTGTTTTTACTTAAAATACAACCGGCAGACCGACTGTGGTTATTCATACTTGAGTATTTGGCAGACATTTCCTCATAAATGAGTGATGTGAATGTCACTTCAAGGAAAACAATGGACGAGATTTTTTACTAATGATAAAAGTTGAGTTTTCAAGCAAAAATTAGAATTTTGGAAAACTGGTATCTGCTACTCTTAGGGTTCTCTAGAGGGACAGATCTAATAGGATAGATACATATACATACATACATATATATATGGGAGTTTATTACATATTAGCTTACACAATCACAAGGTCCCACAGTAGACTGTCTGCAAGCTGAGGAGCAAGGAGAGCCAGTCCCAGTCCCAAAACTGAAGAACTTGGAGTCCGATGTTTGAGGGCAGGAAGCACCCAGCACGGGAGAACGATGTAGGCTGGGAGGCTAGACCAGTCTCTTCTTTTCACATTTTTCTGCCTGCTTTATATTTGCTGGCAGCTGATAAGATTGTGCCCACCAGATTAAAGGTGGGTCTGCCTTCCCCAGCCTCCTGACTCAAATGTTAATCTCTTTTTGCAGTACCCTTACAGACACACCCAGGACACTTTATATCTTTCAATCAAGTTGACTCTCAGTATTAACCATCACAGCCACTTTGAGCCTGACTTCTTCCCATTATTTAGGCTTTTCTGCTGAGATCAGTGGTAATACTCTCGGATGAGAATTTTTTGTTGTTGTATAATGAAATGTGTCACCTTTTAGAAGATCTATATAACTTACTGAACTAATATTTTCCAGATGACCAGTGGTTGATGTTAGAAAACCATGCAAGGTTAAAGATTCATTCAAAGTGCAGGCTGGAGCAATGGCTTTATTATTATTATTTTTTATTTAAGCATTTATTTTAGAGACACAAGGTCTTGCTCAGGTGTTGCCCAGGCTGGAGCGAGCACAGTGGCTCAATCCTAGATCACTGCAGCCTTGAACTCCTGGGCTCAAGTGATCTTCCTGCCTCAGCCTCCCAAGTACCTGGGACCACAAACATGTGCCACTGTGCCTGGCTTATTTTTTGTAGAGAGGGTTCTCACTTTATTGCCTTGGCTGACAGTGGCTTTATATATAAAAGAATATGAAAAGTTTGATATGGTTTCCGATTCCATATTGCAATTAACTTTTAAGAAGTCAGTGCTTGTTAGCGGAACCATGACTGCCCCGCAGAACCGTTGGTAGGAGTGCACCTTGCCACCCCGCATCCCAGGCCCAGCCTTTCTGACAAGAGCTAGACTTTGGGTTCCTTGAGGATATTCAGTTTTTGTATGTTTGAATATCCTGTCACCATGTTCAGCATAAAATACCATTCTTAATGATTATCTTCGGCAAGATAGGTGTGAAAGGATTGCTGTTGTATTACAATCATGGTGCAAAAATACCAGTCAGCAGTGAGGCTGTACGAATACCCCTTTGAATTATTATGGCTGCCTGTGAAAGGAGGTTCCCTACGTGTCCTTTGATTCTGATGTTTGTGGACAGTGACACTGTGAATGAATTCAAGAGTGAAGATGGGGCTATTTATGTCATTGAAAGGTGCTGCAAGCTGGATGTAGATGCACCAAGACTGCTGCAGAACATTGCAGGATTTGGTTACATTTATTTTGTCCAGAAGAACTCACTGAATTCTTGGGAACGTACTTTGTATATTGAGGCTCAGAATGAAACATTTTCCAGTCGCTACACCGTTCACCCTGAAAATAAAGATTGAACCTGTTTTGAATAGTCTGCAAGTTTAGATATTAAATCTTTCTTTGATTTTGAAAGTACCATGGAAAAAAATTGCAATGAAACAATATACCAGCAACATTTAAAAAGGAAAGGAAATCATTGAATACTACCTTCGCCATTTAGAAGAAGAAGGCATAACCTTTGTGCCCTGTTGGGCTCCGCCTTCCATCACGCCCTCTTCAGAGACATCTTCGTCATCCTGCAAGAAACAAATAGCGTCCATGGCCGTCATCGTCCCAGATGCTGCCCTCAAGAAGGGGCTGATTGGCGATACCCTCAGCAGCCCCAGCGCACCTGAGCCGGTGGTGGGCACCCCTGACGACAAACGATGTAGATGCCGACTACATCAAGAGATACCTGGGCAATTTGACTCCGCTGCCGGAGAGCTTTCTCATTAGACTTCACCGGTGGCTCCACAAGACCCACAAGGGCAAAATTCCAAAAGATGAGCATATTCTTCAGTTCCTACGTGCACGGGATTTTAATATTGAAAAAACCAAAGAGATCGTTTGTCAATCTTTGACGTGGAGGAAGCAGCACCTGGTAGACTACGTTCTTGCTACCTGGACCCCTCCACTGGTTCCTTCAGGATTACTACACAGGAGGCTGGCATCATTACGACAAAGGTGGGCGGCCCCTCTGTGTGCTCAGGCTGGGGCAGATGGACACCAACGGGTTGGTGAGAGTGTTTTTGGAGGAAGCCCTGCTGAGATACATCCTCTCCATAAATGAAGAAGGGCTAAGGCGATGTGAAGAGAATACAGAGGTCTTTATTTGGCATATCATCTCATGGACCTGCTTGGTGGACTTGGAAGGGCTGAACATGCGCCACTTGTGGAGACCTGATGTCAAAGCGCTGTGGTGGATCATCGAGGTGGTGAAGGCCAATTATCCTGAGAGACTGGGCCGACTTCTCTTCCTGCGGGCACCCACGGTATTTCCTGTGCTCTGGACACTAGTTAGTCCATTTATTGATGACAACGCTGGAAGGAAATTCCTCATTTATGCAGGAAATGACTACCAGGGTCCTGGAGGCCTGCTGGATTACATTGACAGATTATTCCAGATTTCCTGAGTGGAGAGTGCATGTGCAAAGTGCCAGAGGGTGGACTGGTCCCCAGATCTCTATACTGGACCGTGGAGGAGCTGGAGAATGAAGACCTCAAGCTCTGAACTGAGACTGTCTACCAGTCTGCAAGCATCTTCAAAGGAGCCCCACACAAGATTCTCATTCAAATTGTGGATGCCTCTTCAGTCATCACTTGGAATTTCGACGTGTACAAAGGGGACATTGTCTTTAACATCTATCACTCCAAGAGGTCGCCACAGCCACCCTAAAAGGACTCCCTGGGGGCCCCACCTCTCCAGGTGGGAACAATGTGCAGCTCATAGACACAGTCTGGCAGCAAGGCCGTAACTGCGGCATGGTGGAGTCGTCTCTGATCTGTAAAGAAGGAGAAGGTATGCAAGGCTCCCATGTGACCAGGTGGCCGGGCCTCTACATCCTGCAGTGGAAATTCCACAGCATGCCCGCGTACACCGCCAGCCTGCCTCAGGTGGATGATGTGCTCGCGTCCCTGCACATCCCTTCGCACAACTGTAGAGTGATGTACTACACCAAGGTGATAGGCTCCGAGGGTTTCAGAGGTTCCATGACGAGCCTGGAGTCCAGCCACAGTGGCTTCTCCCAGTTGAGGGCGCCACCACCTCCTCCAGCCAGTCCCACTCCAGCTCCATGATTTCCAGATAGTGCCGCACCGCCTTCACTTAGTGTGCAGAGGGGATGGCTGCCCCTCCTCGGACAGCCAGCTCCACCCTCCCGCCCAGTGGTGACATTGTACAGACTCCTCTCACCTCTAGACAGCAAATAGCTCTCCAGATGGTAAATGTAGTCATTTCATCCCAAAACTATCTTGACAGGTGGTTTTAACTCTGATCCTACTTTAACTCAATAGCCATAGATTTTGTATATGTTGTACACAAAATCAAAGGCAGAGCACAAGGGCTCTCTTGAAATAAAAGTAGTTTCTATACCAATTAAAAGATTGACGTGGTCTCAGAAAAAAGAAAAAAGAAACCAGCACTTGTTGAGTTTTGGTATAATATCAAAGAAGAATGTCTACAGTTATTTGAAAAGGCTGTGAACTACATACCTATGTGAAACCAATTTCCTTCATATACTTCAATAAAAATGACCTATTTTAAGAGATTGAATGCAGAAACAAATATGAGAATCAGCTCTCTTCTATTAAGTTAGATATTAAAAAGATTTGCAAAATGATGTCACCCTTCTCATCAATTATTCAGTTATTTGTATTGAAAATTATAGTTATTTTTCATTAAAATGTTGATGTTAACATGTAATGGATTTGTCATTGCATTTTTTTTAATTTTAATTTAATTTTTTTTTTTTTGAGACAGAGTCTCACTTTGTCACCCAGGCTGTAGTGCAGTGGCACAATGTTGGCTCACTGCAACCTCTGCCTCCTGGGTTCAAGTGATTCTTCTGCCTCAGCCTCCTGAGTAGCTGGGACTACAGGCGCATGCTACCACGCCCAGCTGATTTTTGTATTTTTAGTAGAGACAGGGTTTCACCATGTTGGCCAGGCTGGTCTTGAACTCCTGACCTCGTGATCCACCGGCCTCGGCCTCCCAAAGTGCTGGGATTACAGGCGTGAGCCGTGGTGCCTGGCCTGTCGTTGCATTTTAAATGAATTAACCAGTAGTTGAAAATTTTTTCAGTTTTAATTTTAAATATGGTAAAAACTGATGGCCATAACCCATATAAACAAAAGTTATTTGGGCTCCTCAATAATTTCTCATGTAAAGTTTGAGAACCACTGTTCTAAAGGAAGCTTTGTAAAGTCCTCGAGATTTCTGGGAGAAAAGACAGCATTCTAGCAAGAACCAATATAAGCTATGTTGTTTGTAGCTCCCAAGTACAATCTAAGGTCAGGGGTCATCGCTTCCTGTAGTATACGTGGCAAGACAGTTCCAAATATGAATTACATCAGTGAAACCAGTGCCCTGGAGGCAGGTCCATGGAACCTGTTCGTCTTCTGTAGTTGATGTCTCGTACACTTGTCAAGAGCCTATCATGATTCTCATTTTCTAGAAAAGAGTGTTTTTACTCTTTGGTTATGTTTTTAGGAAATTAGCCACTCTGGAAATATTAAAGATCATTTTTAAAAAGCGATTCTCCCAATCAAGATAAAACAGGAATAGAACGAACAGAGGGCCACCCAGCAGGAAAGGTTTTCCAGTCTTCAGGCTTTAGTCTGGGTCTGCTGACTACCTAGTGACATACCAGCTTTGCTGCTCCACTTACCACCTTAATGACTTACCAAGGTCGCTGCCCTGAAGATACTGATATTTGCTTTTTTGCAAAGGCCATGTGTTTAACATGGAAAGGATGAGATGGATAGATAGATTCTGGTCCTCATGATATTGCTGTACTAAATTTAGTACTTTTATAACATTGCAGAGATCAACTTGCTTCAAAATAGAAACGATGGGAGGGAATTAAACTACTTTTCTTGCTTTCTGTTTATTGTATTCCAAATGGTTTGCTTATTTCATGCCCTGGTTATAACTTGGCTGATTTTGCCCTTTCTTTCTGTTTTTCCACGCGGCTGCCATTTTGTGTGCTATGCGACTGTCTCTGCCCTTTTCTTGGTCTGTGGATCGCAGTGGCATCCTGTGCTGTGCACACTAAAGAACCGCATTGAAGAGAACACTGGCCACACCTTCAACTCCTTACTCTGCAATCTTTACCGCAATGAGAAGGACAGTGTGGACTGGCACAGTGATGATGAACCCTCACTAGGGAGGTGCCCTACTATTGCTTCACTCAGTTTTGGTGCCACACGCATATTTGAGATGAGAAAGAAGCCACCACCAGTGAGTATTCTCTTCTTCCTACGCTCTTCCTGACTCTTATTAGTCTGTGAAAAAAGGAGAACCCCTAAAAGCTTCTACTTTCAGATTTTGAGCATGGGAATACACATTTTGTTGATGAAACATTTTCAAGTGATTACTTCCCCATGGTTAACTTTTGACTTCCAAAGTGCTCCTTCATTTATTTACATATGCAACAAGAATTGACAGCCTTATGCTAGGTGCTGGGGGCTCATTTCATTGAAGATAAACTCCCTGTCCTCTTGGAGATACAGTCTGGTTGGGGTAGGTAAATATTCCTAATTACTCAAATTATTGCAATTGTGATCAATGCTGTGAAGGAAAGCCTTAGAAGGATGACTCAAGCTAGTGGGAGGCTAAGGAAGAGGAAGGAAGCTAAGGAAGACGTCCCTGAAGAAGCCTTTGTTTTAAGTGTTTTTCATGGTAATATGGCCACTTTTCTGTAAGGGAGCATTACATGTATCTTTGTTCCTTCTTAGCCTTCTCCTGAAATACATGTGAATCTGTAACTCTTTCAGAGAGAGGAAACTGAAACCAGATTATCAGAGATGGTGATCTGTCCACATTCAGGTAGAAAAACAGTGACCAAAAAAATGAATAACTATATAATAACTTCAGTTTCCACCCCAGCTCTTACCTTGATTGTGTGACATTTGAGGAATACTAGGGTTATTAATTTTTAAAAAAATCAAAAGTGTAGCACCTTAGGACTAAGAAAGATAGTAACGCCAAGAAAAGAACAAATTATTTTATTTTCAGGATTTGTGTCTCTTCCTAACCAGCATTCCTGATCATTCAGCTTATAATATTAAACCAGACCCAGTCAGTGTGGAAGGCCAAGCCACAGGCTGTTTTTTTGTTTGCTTGTTTTTTAGAGACGGAGTCTCACTCTGTCACCCAGGCTGCAGTGCAAGTGGCACGATCTCAGCTCACTGCAACCTCTGCCTCCCCTGTTCAAGCGATTCTCTTGCGTTAGCCTCCCGAGTAGCTGGGATTACAGGCGCGTGCCAGGACCCCCAACTAATTTTTGTATGTTTAGTAGAGATGGGGTTTCACCATGTTGGCCAGGCTGTTCTCAAACTCCTGACCTCAGGTGATTCGCCCACCTCTGCCTCCCAGAGTGCTGGGATTACAGGCATGAGCCACTGCACCTGGCCCAGGCTGAGTTTTGAATAGACCTAAGCCAGAGCACATCATTATTAGCACTCGTGTCAGTTCTTCGTCAGATACACTTCCATAAGAATACAGTTAACAGACTGAGTGTTTTCCTGGTGTGTATTGGGTTTCCATGCGTGGTATTTTTAAAGCATATTGTGTAATTTTGCATATATGCCATTAAGCACCTTTTGTAGGTATAATTTCCATTGATTAGGTTTTCTTTCATTATGTTTACATAAAAAGTTTGATCTTTGTTAGGGGATTGGTAGTTGCCAGTGTTTTTTCGACTGAACTTGCTCCCTAAGCCTTCGGTTTCATTGGCAAGCAGCCTTCTCATGTGCTAAGGAATACCACTTGAGAATCAGATAAACCAACTTTTGCTATATTCATTTTAGATATGATTATACTTCTGTACACAGCTTCCACTCAGTTAAATACCAAGTTCACATGTGTGAAAAATTCATCCTGCCCTTAGTAAGACTCCTGTTACATAAATAGTAGAGAAACACTGTATGTCTCATTATTTAAGTTCAGACCCTCTTCTGAAGCTGGATGTATGGAACCTCAGCTTGCTGCCAGGAGTGGTACTGGGACCTGGGGTTGTAGCAGTGAATGAGTAAGATGAAATCATCTCTCTCCTCCTGGAGCTCATCTAGTATATGCTAGTACTGCACCTTCCTCCTAGAGTCATCCTTCTAGCCGCCAGATTGGCAAATAAGCTATCGTATATATAGCCTTTGGTATAATAGTGGTTTTTAGTTTTTCACACTTACTTTCTTTGTTGCTCTGTATTTAAGTATTCAGTTACTCTTTCTTTACACTTATACATTCACCACCACCACCACCCTTTTTAAAAATTTGGGCCTATTTTTAGATTTGGAGCTTAAGAATTCCCTAAGTATGCTTTTTGGATAAATCATTTTATATACAAGCAATTTCCAAATATTACACATTCACAATATTCTGGTGCCCAGAAATATCCCATTTCTTCTCCCCTCCAGTGAGCTGAATTTCTTCATTTTCTCACATAAAGATATGACACATGGTGATCAAGAGCTATTTCCTGGTAGTACACATCAGTTATGTTATAGGGTAACAAGTAGATGGAGAGCATAACTACCGCATACATTGTTTCTGTGGGCAACCATTTGGAACGGAACCTTATCCTGCCGTGCCCCATGCTGTAGCTTTCTCCTCTCCTCAGCCTTCTTGGAGTTTATTTTGATGAACATGAATGAGAATGCAGGCCATGAAATACTCAGAAGTGGTAACGTCCATGTAATTGTCTGCCAGTGGCAAGGGAATCTGCACTATGACGATGGTAGCTGATTTGATTAAAATACTGATCCAATAAGTAAGAAAATTTGCCTGAGATTTTTACAAAGTTGGCTGAGGAAAGGGATTTGGGAAGAAATATAAACATGTTGGTACTTCAGGTTGTTGACTGTAGTAAGTTTTGGCTTCTGGCCTAGTCTTAACTGTGATTGAATTTCATGCAAATTTTGTATATCATCTCAATTCTGGCTTTTGTTTAACATTGGGAAATTGAATATTAATATGTTTGAAATTATAATCACACGTAAAAAGTGACCTTTTTTCCCCAGAACCTGTAAATTCCGTTTTTGTGTAAACAGGATACAAATTTAAACTTTTGAAGATTCCTTCAGGTCTCACTAACAGATTTCCAAAAACCTGGAGCTGTACAAATGTAGCTAAACTCGAAGTGCAGAACCCTTTCTTTGAGTTGACGGCCTTGGAAATATATCTTAGAGTGCATCATCTTTATCTTATAAATAATCCTTTTTTCCAAAGGATTGAAAGAAAGTGATTATTGCAAATTTTTGTCTACTTTTCTTTATAAACTCAGGCGATGAGAACATGACTCATGATTCATACAGCCCAAGGTAAAGCATAATTTAAAAAGTACAAATTAGTTTAGTCTTCTGTGTGGGATTTGTAGGAGTCTGACTTCCTGTAACTCTTAGAGACCTATCTCGGTGTACTACTACAGATTGTAATTTTCATGTCTGTCACCGAGACATTCAGGGTTTATTAGAGGTTGTGGGAGGGAATCTTTCAAACTCCTATTAGCTTTGACCCCTCGGAGGAGAAGTTAATGCCTGTTTGACTTGAGTCACAGTTTCTCATCTCAGGCGGACATGGAAGAGTCATGAGATTTCCTGCACTTTGTTCAAGTGTGCAGTTTTGAGACAGAAAAGCATTTGTTTGGGGCCACTTTCAAAGAGAAATAGTCTTGATTTTTTAAAAATTCAAACTCCTCCACCCTTGCAGCAGCTGTTTATTTTGTAGTCTGGCACCTTGAGCAGATCTCCGTTAACTGCTGATCTGCTGAAAGCTGCTCCAGTTCCACACACTGTATTCCTAACAATTTCGCCCTGTGCTGAGACAGTAAGGAGGTCTTTGTTTCGTAAGCACCAGTGCCCTCTGATTCATGCATCAGCTCAGTCAGCTTCATGTAGACATCATCCCTTGGATTAAACATTTCACTCCACGGAGCTGCTTTTTTTTTTTTTTTTTTTTTTTTTTCCACTGTCCTGTAGTCCAAGTCTGCCAACTACTGCTCATTCATTTTGATTTTAGAGTAAATTACCCTTTCCTTTAATGATATTACTGTCATTCCTCAGGGGCATAGTAGACTTGTTTAAGCTTGCTTTTACATTCATTCCGATTCCTTTTTTTGTTTAGTTCAAATCAAAGACTAAGTGAAGGGCACCTTATCTATATTCTGGCTGATGTCAGGCTATATTGTCTTAAGACTGTCATAAAGCTTATCAAGTATACTTCAATAGACCTTTTTTATTCCATCAGGCTGACTTTATTAAAGGTTTTCTATACTTCTTGTCCCAAACCCAGTTGTACTTTTCAAACTACATTGTGTTCCTGTTTGCAAGGATTAGTCTGGTTCTTTTCCCAGCTAGTTTTAATTCTATACTGAAAAAAACAAGCTGGAAAAGGAACTACAAAAGCCATTTGGCAGGCTGCTATTTCTCTGTCGGTTACCATGGAAACAGTGATGGCTGGGGGGTGTTATTAGATAATAGCAGGAAGTTTGTGATGCACTGGAGGTTTAGATGCCAAAAGCCTTGTTTTTGTAGCAAATTACCTCTGGATAAACTGTATCCTTCATCAGCTGAATTCTGCAAATGTTAGGGGCTCCTATTCTCCTCAAGGTGATTGAGCTGTGGCAAGGGGCTCCTATTCTCCTCAAGGTGACTGAGCTGTGGCAAGTTGAGCCCTCTAACCCCTCCTGTCTTTAGCCCTAGTGAAGAATGTGAATCCTGTTTGTATTGCCAGGAGAGATGGTTGTAAAACCAAGTCTAATGGTAGAGACTATGAGAGCACCCAATGAATTGGAGGTCCTAGTGCTTCCCTTGCTAATTGTTGTGGGTTTTTTATACACTACAGGGAAGAGTGGAGTATAAAAAGGTCAGTCAAGTCATAAATACTGCTATTTTTTGTAAGACTTTAGAAAAAATGAAGATATTCGAATCCAAAATAATGTGATACTAAATAATGTAAATTTGGAAATTAGATAAGCTAGTACTATGCAGGATTTCATAGAGTGGAAACAACCCACAGCTTAGCCAGCAGCCTCGTTGCTGCTATTCCAGTCATCTATCCTTCCTGTTAATCCATCTGTTGATTATAGCACCTACTCTAAGAGATTATCAGATATACTTGAGGCTGGGCATGGTGGCTCTCACCTGCAATCCCAGCACTTTGGAAGGCTGAGATGGGAGGATCACTTGAGCTCAGGAGTTTGAGACTAGCCTGGGTAACATAGTGAGACCTCATCTCTATTT